CATGGCAGCTCCAATGGGTTTATTGTCTTATCCTTCCTTTCAGCTTTAGAGTGAATTAGGAAAAGTTTAATCACTTGCACTGTTTTATGTTTACATGTTTGATGACAAGCAGCCTTATGTTTATAAGTGACAGTTTTCCTGCTAAGTTCCTGTATGTCATAAGCATTTGAATTAAAATTACCGTATTGAAATCAAATCTGATGTTTTTTAATTTTTATTTGGTGTGCGTTGGAAGAGGGGTAGTCTTATACGGCGAGTATAGCCCAAACTCTATATTTTAACTGGAAAAGTTGGGGGTCGTCTTATACGCCGGAATATACGGTATATATTTGCTATTGAGGTCCAATAACTCTTTCTGGAGTTCTACTTAACTATTGAGATACACCTAATTAATTAGTGGGGTCAAATTAAAAAAAAGATGTACTAAATAAAACTGTTCATCTTAAGATGCTTTCTTAAAAAAAATCAGCTCCAAAATGCTCGAATAAACATCTTCCACTGAGCAATGGTTGCTCTTTCAAATGTTACAGAGCCAAGAATCCATTTGTCTGCAAGCTGGGAATGCTGATCACATTATCAGAAAATCCTGGAGGAAAGCAAAATAGAAGCCTAATATGCTTACTTGAAATAATAAATAATGGAAGGGGTCCAATATATTCCAGGAAAGGTTCTTCCCCTCAAATGATAGTTAAGAATTACCAAAATTAACATTAAAGCTGTAATGTTAATTCTTTTCCATCCGTTTTTACACACATGGATTTTCCTATTTTTTTCATGTCTTATTTTTCATTCCCTGTTTTCAGAAACTACTGGGGATAGAAGAGGCTTCAGTTAGCTTATGCATTTGGTAGTTTCACTTTCTCATAGAAAAATGGAACAACTCAAGACAAGTGGTCCCATAACGATTAGCAAAACGAACTACTAATTTTTAACATTAAATAAAGCTGGGGCCCATTGTTAATCCCCTATCTCAGCAGATTTCAATGTAAGTTCAAGAAAGCAAGATGAAACTGACCTGAAATAGTTTGAAATAATAACAGAATATATGATCGCCCATAAGAGAGTTCCTTGCAAATTCTTGTCCTGCTTTTGCAATGTTCTTTGCCTACCAAGGGGAAAATGGGGCGGGGAAGACAGAAGGAATAAATACCGAATTAATGCATTTTCATATTTAAACTTTAATTTTCCTAAATTTCCTTTTCCAGCCATTCCTATCTACATATTAATTAGTTTCCAATGATCACAGCTCAAAATAAATCAAACTGGAAGAGTTAATTAAAAAGAAATATAAAATTACTAGCACTCCTTAGCTAGCAATAGTGGAAAATACATCTAGCTCAGAGTTGACATCTTGATGTCCTCCAAGTTGGCTTTTTTTATTGCTGGTGGTTCACGAATACGCTACTTACAGGTAGTCCTTGACTTACAACAGTTCATTTAGTGACCATTCAAAGTTACAACAGCACTGAAATATGTGACTTATGACCGTTTTTCAGAGTTACAACTTTTGCAGCCTCTCCTTGGTCATGTGATCAAAATGCTTGGCAACTGGCTCATATTTATGACGGTTGCTGTGTCCTGGGGTCACATGATCTCCTTTTGCTACCTTCTGACAAGCAAAGTCAATGTGGGAAATCAGATTCACTTAACAACCAGATTACTAATATTTTTCACATTTTTAAATGTTTCCACCTTCCCGTAGATGTCATTCCATTAAATTCTGCAGTTCTTATAATTCTGTTGCTAGAATTGTGGGCAGCTTTTCAAAGAGGCCTGTCGCTATTCCTAAAATAAGCTGCTATGCTACCCTAATCAATACATGAAATTATTATTTGCAAAGACAGATTTACTCATTTCATTGTAGAAAACATAGGTAGTGGAAATACTTTTAAGAACATCTTTGCTTAGGTTAGTTTCCAAGAATATAGGATATTACAACTACTATAGAAAATCAAAATATCTATGACAGGGGTAGGCAACCTTGGCTCTTTTATGACTCATGGACTTCAACTCCATGGCTGGCTCAGGAATTCTAGGAGTTGAAGTCCACGAGTCATTAAAAAAGCCAAGGTTGCCTACCCCGATCTATCATATTTCCTTCATTTGATGGGCAATCTCAGTTACAGACATCTTCATTACAACATAATGATTCTAGATCAGTGGTTCTCAACCTTTTTAATGCCGCAATCCCCCAACCGGTCGTAAGTCGAGGACTACTCAACCAGTCATAAGTCGAGGACTACTCAACTGGTGCAGCACTGTTTGCAGAATGGGACTTTTGGCAGGCTCAGCAGGGCAGAGACAGCCTGGACAATTCCTATTGCTTTTGAAAGCCAATAGAATTAGACTCTATTCAAGAGAGTCTATTCTATTGGCTTTCAAAAGCCAATAGAATAAAAGGGAGTAGCACAGCTAAGGAAAAGGGGAAAAAAATGGCGGACTGCGTTGTTTGGTGACCCCCGTGAAATGGTCATTCGACCCCAAATGGGGTCCTGACCCACAGGTTGAGAACCACTGTTCTAGATAAAGTGATTCAGAATAGTCAGATTCTGCTGAATAATAGCATGTGCTTCACATTCAGAAAAGACCCCAGGGCCAGTTCTTTGCACCTAAACTGAGGAGGGAACAATTTTTGCCTCAAACCTTGGAAAAGCCACTGCCAGTCAAGATCAACAAGTTTTTGAAATGCACTCCTGACAGCTATTACTGGCAACTGCTACAGGATAAATTAAACATAACCAACTTCCCTCTGTGCGAGTTTCACAATTAATCATCTTTCATAATACCAAACTAAATAGGTTTGTATCGTGGCAATCAACAGAATTTTATTAATTAAATGCATCTTTACCTCTTCATCATGATCTTTCGCCCACTGGAGTTTTTCCATGAGATCACTCAGGTCATTCTTAAATGGAACAAAGTGCTTCCAAGGTTGTAACTCATTATAAAAATGTTCATAGTAGATGGAGTCTTGCTTCAGTACTAAGCTGTTTCCTGCCAGCAAGTATGGCAGCCGATATGCAGCCACTGTGCCATCAATATTAATTTGGTATTTAGACTGCAAAATACAAAACATACCATTAATAAACATGTAATTTTACCGAAGGTTCTCCATGCCCACCCAAGAACTGAACTCTTGACAAATGTATGTGGAATATCTAGATGGAAGATATTCCACAGATAGAATCATTCCACCCATTGTTTGGTATCAAACTTTAAATTCCTACTGGATGTGTGGTAAATAAGGTATTTTAGCCAATTATAGCTGTCTTTAGCACAGGGACAAGGAACACAACATAAGATCTAAGTTTTACAACAGTGAGACCTCTAAATGTATCAGCTCTTGCCAGCAGGGTAATATGTAGGGCTGACGGGAACTGACATGACATCTGAAAGGGCTGTTAAGTTATTGAGCAAAGACAGTGTAGCTCTTCATTTTAAAAATCCTTACCTTTATTAATAGCAATCAACTACAAAACCAAAGAAATCTGTATCTAAAGCATCAGTAATATACTATAGCTATCTCTCCCTTTCACAGACCTTCCAAAACGTTTCATGCAAGTGGGATGACTGATATCTATCTATCTATCGATCTATCTATCTATCTATCTATCTATCTATCTATCTATCTATCTATCTATCTATCCATCCATCCATCCATCCATCCATCCATCCATCCATCCATCCAATTTCTATGCCACCGATCTCACTTGTGAGAAACTGGGCAGCTTACATCATCATAAAATAGGAGTATAAAACCATTAGAATGTTAAAACATTTAAAACATTGAGCATTAAAAGTTAGCAAAAACTAGAAAAGAAAGGATACCAAGGTAGTCCTCGGCTTACGACCACAATGAGCCGAGGTGGCGCAGCAGTTAGAGTGCAGTACTCTAGAGTGTTCAGCAGGTCAGCGGTTCAAATCTCACTGGCTCAAGGTTGACTCAGCCTTCCATCCTTTTGGGGTAGGTAAAATGAGGACCCAGATTGTTGGGGGCAATGTAAATATATATATACATTGCTTACTGGTGTACACCGCTTAGAGAGTGCTTGCACTTAAAGCGGTATATAAGTCTCATAAATAAAATAAATAAATAAAATAAACCCAAAATTTCTGTTGCTGAGACCATTGTTAAGTGAATTTTGCCTCATTTTACCTTTCTTGCCATAGCTGTTAAGTGAATCACTGCAGTTGTTAAGTTAGTAACCTGGTTGTTAAGTGAATCTGGAGTCCCCATTGACTTCGCTTGTCAGGTCGCAAAAGGGGATCATGTGACACTGCAACTGTCATAAATATGAGTCAGTTGCCAAGTGTCTGAATTTTGATCACGTGACCATGGAGACACTGCAATGGTTGTTAAGTGTGAAAAACAGTCACATGTAACTTTTGCAATGCACTTTTAACTTTGTATGGTCACTAAACAAACTGTTGTAGGGCGAGGACCACCTGTACACTAACAGGGTGGACCTGGGACCTTCTTAATTTACTGATCTCCAGAGTGGGATGCCCTCACTGGGACCCCAAGCCACTCGGCAGAGCCAGGTTTTCAGGCTCTTTTCAGAAAGCCAAAAGATGGGGTGAGTCTCACCTCAAGTGGCATTATGTTTATTTTTATAAATGAGCAGCAAACACATTCAAAATTCCTTCCTCCTCTTATTTTTCTCACAACCACCTTGTGAGGTGTGTTGGGCTCAAAGAGTGACTGGACCCAGGTGAATTGTAATCCCAATCTAAGTATTACCTCCTAAATACCAACGTCTGCCAGAAATTTCTGAAGGATATTACTTTGAAGTAATCAAACCCCCAAACATTTAGAGGTTCAACTGTCATAGATTCTGAGCTGGTTATAACCCTATTTCTCTGATGTGAGCATGATACCTCAGTTGTTATTACCCATTTATTGATTTAAATTAGCTATTAAACAGCGCTGTTTGTTTAGATGCAGTCTAAACAAGTTGCAAACATAAGATAATAACTTTGACTGTTATCTTCATTAACAGAATGGTGCTCCTAAAGACACAACAGCAGAGGTCCCCAAACCAGGACAACCAAAAGACTATGGGTATTGCTGAAATATTGTTATTTTCTCTTTTTTAATCACCTTGCAGAATAGATGGATTATAGAAGAATAAAACTCCAGACAGTCACAGCCTAAATAAATTGCTAAAAAGTATTTCAGCAATCACAGATACTGCTGATACCACTTATTTGACAAGATGGGATTGGGGAAAAAAGAAAAAGAGGATTAAAAAAAATATCCTTCTACCCACTCCAGAAGCCCTCTCAGTCCTGAGAATACTAGAACTAGGAAGCTTGCCATATTTTATTTTATTTTCAATATATTTTTGCAATGCATTCTGCCAAAATGAAAAAATATATATTGATAAATGCACCTTGAAGAAATCAAAAAAGGAAATATGTTTCACAATTGGGCCATAGAGGCTTTCGTCATGCTTGAAAAAGAAGAAGTTTGTAAAGGCTGCATCAATGATTTCTGGGAACTTTCGGCTCATTTTCACAAGTTCAAGCCTCTCCTTTCGACTGTCACGGCCCCTCCAGATTGCTGTAGTGTTTTTCTCTTCCCATGGTGGCCCAGTATTTGCTTGAACAGACATCATATCCAGGCTGACTCTTAGGGGAAAAAATGGGAAAACATTCATAAGGAAGGGAATTCTGTGCACATGTTTCAGGAAGGGGTGTAAGACCCAGGACAGGAGTAGGCAACCCAAAACACTCAAAGAGCCACTTGAACCCGTTTCCCACCGAAAACAAAACACCGGGAGCCGCAAAACCCTTTTGATATCTAAAATGAAGACAACACTGCATATATCCCTTTTTACCTTTATTATAGGTGTGTGTGTGTGTGTCTGTGTGTATGTATGTATGTATGTATGTGTGTGTGTGTGTGTATATATATACACACACACACACACACAGTTAAAAAAGGATATATGCAGTGTTATCTTCATTTTAGATGTCAAAAGGGTCTCTCTCTGTCTCTCTCTCCCTCCCTCTCTCTCTATCTGCCCTTGGTTTGCCAGTCCTCTTCCCCCACTCTCTTTCTTTCTCTCTTTCTTTCCTCTCTCTCTCTCTCCTTCTCCCCCCCCCTCTCTCTCTTTCTCTCCCCCCCTCTCCTATCTGCTGCTCACCTGGCAAGCTGGCTTTAAGCTGTTCTCCAACAAGCTCAGGGGTAGGCAACCTCAACTCTTTTATGACTCATGGACTTCATCTCCCAGAATTCCTGAGCCAGCATAGCTGGGCTAGCTAGCTCTCTCCTGCCCTTCCTGCTTCCTGCAGAGATGCAGCAAAGGGAGGAGCTCCGCCCAATAAGCTTTTCAGCTCCTTGGAGAACACTGTGAGTGCACTCTCTTTTACACACACATATACACACACACACAAACATACACAGAGAGAGAAAGAGAGAGAGAGAGAGAGAAGCAGGGAAGCACAATTGCCTCTCTCTGTCTCTGTCTCTCTCTGCAAATGGCAGAGGAGGCTGGGAGCCACAGGGGAAGGCTCAAAGAGCCACATGCGGCTCCGGAGCTGCAGGTTGCCGACCTGTGACCCAGGAGGAAGATTTTTCCCATTAACAGTTTTTCTCTTTTCCATCCTTGGATGCTTCTTCCCAATAGGACTAAAGAAGAAATGCAATAGACTGGATGACACCTCAATGGGAGACTTAATGATAGAACAATTTAAATGCGTAAAATAAACTCTGAAGACACAGATCACAATGGAAACCAATCATGCTTAGCTAACATTTTAATAACTTCCTATAAACAATAGAGACATTCTTACCGCCCCATTGTTTCTAACACAGAATCTGTCAGGTCGTAAGTTGGCATTACAATATCTTTGGACTCACTGGATCCACACCAGGAGAATATGGGGTGGACATCCTGGGAAGATTTTCTTTTTTCCAGTGGCCAATCTCCCAAATTCACAAAAAACTCTACATCTGGCATTTTCACCTAAGACACAATAAAAAAAGACTTTATTTGTATATTAGTATTTTTATTATGTACTTATTGTTTATTCAGTCTTCCAATGGCAATCAAAAGATTCTTGGAAGATTACCACCTCCTTGAATAAGATTAATATGACCTTTTAATTTTATTTATTAAATTTTTATGCCACCCATCTCCCTTATAAGGTGACTCTGAGCAGCAGACTTTTCCTATATCCTTGATTTCTGAAGTGGATTCTAGCCACTGAATAATGTTTTAGAGACCATAACTGGAACATTAATTGGCAGATATGTTTCTTGTGGAAGATGATTAACAAATATATATTATATAGTGTTGGAATTCTTGAGCTTCACTGACCTTCTATAATTTTCTGGCATACACTTTTATTCAATCTGAAAAAACAGTATCAAAATTTTGCATTTATACATCAGTAATTGGTATATAGTATTTACGGTATTTAAATGCTGTGTGTAAATTACACTTAGTATAGTGGAATCTTTGGTGCTCCCTGAATTTGGTTCTTTGCTTGCAGACATTTCATTACATACATCATTTGTGCAAGTATGTGTTCAGAGACCACCAAGAACCAACCTCATGTTCCACTCTGAGTTACATATTTCTCTTCAATTGGAACTCTTAGAATAATACTGCAATGTAGGCCAGTATTATTATTCTCAATTTCATAGCTGAATTAAAATGGTGATTTTCTTAAATCAATGCATTTGCCAAATCTGCAATTCCTCAACTGTTTTTGTAAAAAAAAAAAAAAGTAAAATATTAAGGCATTATTTACTATAACAAACAAGAGAATATTTAATTCAAAGCCAAACAATTTATGAGTACAACGCCATCTAGTGGTCTAATGTTCCAACTATGCATCAACATTTCAAAAGTTTTTAAAATAGGTTTCTTAAAGTCAAGTGGAATGCTTCACTTCAAATGTATACAGTCCTTCAAAGTTGCCTGCAGTTCAAACAGGGAGCTGGAGCCTATTCTAAGGGAATCTCTCTCTCTATGTGTAGTAGTAGCTTGACTCTGTTACTAATCTGTTACATGCCTATTCAGAGTGGTATTTTGAGAGTTTCTACAGTCCTATATCATTCTTTCAATGGTGAGATCCAAAACCTCTGGTCATAGCCCAGCAGAAACTGTGTACACTAGAGGCCCCCAACCTTTTGGGCACCAGGGACTGGTTACATGGAGAGAGGTTTTTTTCGCAGACCGGAGGGTGTGTGGTTTTGTGTGCTGACTGCATCTCACAGATGGGGCTTTACTTATTTGTGCGGCCTAATTGCTAGCATGCCGCTCCTGGTCTACACAGTCTAGCATTGCCAGAATATACATATATGTTTATGAAGTGAGAGATAGTGATCGAATATTCGGTCCTTTTTTCATCTTTTGGAGTTTAGATTTGTTTTTAAAAAATTAAAAGAAATGCATTAAGCCTATCATTGGCTTAATAGTAATTTAAGCTGTTAGATAACAGTTTGCAAATCATATATGTGATGAGGAACACTCAGGTAGACTACCTCTAAGATACGGGCCATAAAAGACAACTGATTTTTTTTCCCCTGAAGGAATAGCTAAACAGGCAACTCATTTGAGTTTTATGAAAATCTGAGTATCAAAAGATTCAAACAGAGAAATCCAATCTTACAATCTCTCGGTATGTTGTAGTTTTAGAAGGAGGTCTGATCCAGGCTGGAACTAATGGACTAGGAATGGACAAGAGAGAGAGGCTGAGAGGTTTAAGACCCAAAACCGCTATTCAACCTCTGTGAAGAAACTCAGAGACACATCCATTTGTCCTAATCCAGTGGTGGCGAACCTATGGCACGGGTGCCAGAAGCGGCACTCAGAGCCCTCTCTGTGGGCACGCGTGCCGTTGCCCCAGTCCTAGGTCTTCAGCTGGGTTTTATAAAACCTTTTCGCTTTAGGCCTCAGTCACCGTGTGCAAAAAAAAAAAAAGGTTCAATCAGTCAATTTCAATTTCTCGCGGGAAAAAAAAAGATCTTGCAAAGTTGGAATTGATTGATTGAACTTTTTAGTCCCACCCAGTCTGCCATTACCACTGCAGCCACACCCACCCGGCACTTGACGATGCATAAGTGGGTTTTGGGTTGCAGATTGGGCACTCAGTCTCTAAAAGGTTCGCCATTACTGTCCTAATCCATGCCTAAGTGTTATGAAGAGGGTCAAATATTTATTTATGGGAAGGATTTGGGGGGGGAGAAGAAAGTGTTTATTTTGTTGTTCAATCCTGATCTAGTTTACTACAGAGGACCTTTGTAGCAGACAAAAAAAAAGGGAGGGGGAGGAGTTAATCTGAAATATCATTACTTTTATAAAATTCAAAGGATTTACTTAATAATTAAAATTCCGTCCCATCTTTTTATCACGCTTAGCAGCCAGAGCTCCAATCCAGACCCAAGGATTATCTTTTTTTAATAATAATGAGAATAATTTTAGTACATAGAAACCCCAAAATTAACTAGCAAGCTTTCTGGCCAAGTGAGGTTCAAACCCGGGTGTCCTTGTTGGCAGCCTGATAATTATTAACAGTTATACTACATGTAGCTTCAGTTTTCAGATCATTATGAAACTGCCATTGTGCAAACTTTCAAAAATTTCTACTTCCTTCCCGAGGACAAAGGAAAACCTCCAAACTACCGAAATAAGTGTCATACTTTACTTCAATAGGTGACCACCGAAAGGGAATAAAAGTTCATCTCCCCTCCAGGTGTTGTATTCTCCGCGTGCTGCCTTAATTAGATAAAGAAGGACAGAACCTATTGCCATCAAGTCAACGTTGATCATTTGGATAACAATGGCTATCTCAATGTGGCAGGCCCAGGAACAGCTACCAAAATTATTCCTTTGTTAACAGGGGAAAGGATATCTTTTTCGAAACTGAGGTGAGGAGTGGGCTGAGACAGCGGAACTAATTGGCTAATGGTTATTTTCTCCCATCTCAATATGGCCATTTTCGTAATGTCCCGCTGCTACAATACACCTGAAGATTATCAAAGCGGCCCAGATACATCTTTCGTTGTCAGCCATTCAGTCATGGAGATATGGTTGGGCTTTGGGGGGGGGGAATGAATCTTTAGGCAACTTTAAAGTGGACTTCAAAGACTTGGGAAATAGAAAGGATGATTCTGCAAGTGTATGACAAATATTTGATTGGAAATTCTATCATCCCTGCAGATGCAAGCCATAAATAACCATTCCTCTGCATTTCTCATTTCAACGCAGGTAGTAAAAAAATACTCCATTCTTGACCTGGATGGGAGCCACGGCACTTTAGAAGAGATTAAACTACAACTTCCAGCAGTCAACATGGCCAAGGAAGAGGAAGGCTGGGAGTTTTGATATAGTAACATCTGGGAGGCCATAGATTCCTCATATTGCTATTACTCATTCTGTGTCCTTTGGGGATTACTGTTTTACCTAAAAGCATGGACAACCTTAGCTTGGCTGAGCCATCTGCATTTTTGTACCTGAAATACTATGACACACCCTTCATACAGACTTGGCTAGATCATTTACACAGGTGGGATTCAATATTCTGTATATAACATGGGGAATTAGGAACCCCATTCCCACTGATGCATTATCCAGTATGCTGAAAAAAACATCCAAGTGGGCAATACACCAGAGAGCATCTATGTGTCTAACTAGAAAAATAAATCAGTAGCTTTTCCTTCCAGGGAAATACCTTACAATTACACACAGACCTAAAAACAAAATAACAGAGGAGGTTGAGTTGCATTCTATGTTAGAGATAATTACATCGCTACGGAGGTACTGTATGTAACACCAAGGATGAAAGCCTCCTTGAACGCATATGGGTTAATATAAAAGGAAAAAAGAATGACATTACTATAAGTGTATACTACACACCACCCAACCAAGCAGAAGAAATATATAAACCTTCTGCTAATCAGTTAATAGATGTATATAGGAAACATACCACAGTAGTAATGGGGAACTTTAAACTACCCTGATACCAACTGGGAGACAAACTCTGCATCAACTGGGAGATCGAACAGATTCCTGACCAAACTAGCTGACAACTATGTCATCGAAAAGGTAGAGGAGGGAACTAGAGCAGAAATGTCAAACACAAGGCCCGGGGGCTGGATGCGGCCCACGAAGTGGTTTCACGTGGCCCACGAAGTCATCCTGGAAATAGTGAGGGAACAGCCCCCGCTGCCTTGGCCCAGGCCAGCCGGGACCAATGTACAATTTTGTGGTGGCCATCTTGGCACTTGCCCCGGTGGACCATGCCTTGCCACTTGCCCTGGTCCTACCCCCTTCTGCCAGAGACCCTCAGATCTGTCCCACTCCTACCCAGGCCCCCACAAGCACCCTTGATGCGAATGATGTAGAACTGACCACGCCCACTCCAGCCACACCCACTCCAGCCACGCCCACCCAGTAGACTGCACCCACTCTGGCCACACCCACCTGGCCCCCTAAGGGCAACCGCAATGTTGATGTGGCCCTCAGTGAAATTGAGTTTGACATCCCTGAACTACAGGAAAAGCTATACTGGACCTAATTCTTACTAATAGAGAAGAAGTAACAGAGGGAGTTGAAATTGCTAAAACCTTGGGCAAGAGTAATATTGGAATTCAATATAATGCAGACACAAACAATAGGACATAATCAAATCAGTGTCTTACATTTTAAAAGAACTAATTTTAACTTACAGTGAGCTTGGGAAGGATTCTCTGGATGAAAATCTTAAACGGGAAAACAACTCAAGAAGCTTGGGAAACTCTAAAAATATGATTATAAAAGCTCAGTCTAGCATATTACAACCGAAAAAGAAAAAAAAAATAAGAAATCCAAGAAGAAACCAAGCATAGCTGCACAGAGTTGCACAAAGAACTCTGATAAACTTAAAGACAAAAAGATTAAAATGGAAAGACGGACGCAGCATATAGAATACCAGCAAAGATGAAATCAGAAAAGCTACGGCTCAGAATGAACTAAGACTTACAACAAATGTCAAAAATAATTTTTAAAAAGTTTCTTTCAACATATAAAAAACAAGAAAATCAAGAAAGCAATCAGTCAATTGATGGGAGAAGATGGCATGGAAGTGACATGCAGCAGAAGGAAGCAGAGCTGCTTTTCAATTGTCTTCACAGAAAAAGAAAAAATAGTCCAGCCTACTAAAAACAGAGCCATAAAAGACAAACTAGGAATTCAAATTAAAATAGGCAAGAAAATGGTAAGAGAACACTTGTCCATTCTAGGCAGTTCAAATCCCCAGGATCTAATGGATTACATCCGAGAGTTCTGAAGGAGATGGTAGACGTGATCTTGGAACCATTTAACCGTATCTTTCAAAGATCCTGGAGCACTAGGGAATTACCAAAGGATTGCAAAAGAGCTGATGTGACTCTCATCTTCAAAAAAAAAAAAAGGGGGGGGGGAAACAGACCCAGGAAACTACAGACCAATCAACCTGACATCAATACCTGGGAAGATCCTGGAAAAGATAATCAAGCAACAGATCTGCAAACACCTAGAGGCAAGCAAAGTTATAATCAGAATCCAACAAGGGTTTGTCAAAAACAGATCAAGCCAAACAAATCTTATTTCATTCTTTGACAAAGTGACTAAATTAGTGGACAGTGAAATGCTCTGGACACAGCATACTTGGATTTCAGTAAAACGTTTGACAAAGTAGACCACAACCTACTTCTTGCTAAGCTAGAAAAATGTGGGATAGAGAGCATCACCACCAGTTAGATTTGTAATTGGCTGACAAACCACTCAACATGTAATCCTTAATGGAACTACAATGGAGGGAAGTAAGCAAGGTTGAGTACCCAAAGTTCTGTTTTAGGCCTAGTGCTCTTCAATATCTTCATAAATGATTTAGATGAGGGAATAGAAGGGGAACTCATTAAAATTTGCAGATGACACCAAAATGGTAGGAATAGTCAACATTCCAGGCTTTAGGAAGATAGGCTCAAAATCCAGAGGGATCTCAACAGACTTGAACACTGGGCCCTATCTAATAAAATGAAATTCACTGAAGAGAAAAGTAGGGTTTTAAATTCAAGCAAGAAAAACCAAATATATAGGAATAGATTAGAATATGAAACCTAGCTCAATAATAATAACTGTGAGAAGGATCTTGAAGTTCTAGTGGAAAATTGCCTAAACATGAGCCAGCAATGTGTTGCAGCTGCCAAAAAACCCAATGCAATCCTAGGCTGCATTAACAGAGAGACAGAATCAAGGTTACATGAAGTGTTAGTACCACTTTACAATTGCTTAGTAAGACAATGCTTGGAATACTGCATCCAGATTTGGTCATAATATAAAAATGGTGTTGAGACTCTGAAAAGAATGCGGAGAAGAGCAACAAAGATAATTAGATGTAATTGAAAAGAACAGAAGCTGGAAGGGACCTTGGAGGTCTTCTAGTCCAGTCCCCTGCTCAAACAAGAGAGCCTCCTATACCATCTCAGACAAGCCTCTTTTTAAAAATCTCAATGGAGTGCCCACGATTTCCGGGGGCAAGCTATTTCACTGGTTAATTGTCCTCACTGACAGGAAGTTTCTCCTTAATTACAGGTTGCTTCTGTCTTTGATCAGTTTCTAACCACTGTTTCTTGTCCTGCCCTCTGGTGCTTTGGTGAATAACGTGATCACCTCCTCTTTGTGCCAGCCCCTCAAATACTGGAATACTGCTATCATGTCTCCCCTATTTCTTCTTTTCTTTAGAGTAGCCAAACGCAAGTACTGCAGCTGTTCTTCATATGTTTTAGTCTCCAGGTCTTTGATGATTTAGACCGGAGGCTAAAATATATGAAGAGTGGTTGCAGGAATTGGGTTTGGCTAGTCTAAAGAAAAGAAGAAATAGGGGAGACATGATAACAGTATTCCAGTATTTGAGGGACAAGAAACAATGGTTGGAAACTGATCAAAGAGAGAAACAACCTAGAACTAATGAGAAATTTCCTAACAGTTGGAACAATAAACCAATGGAATAGCTTGCCTTCAGAAGTTTTGGGTGTTTCATCACTGGAGGCTTGTAAGAAGAGACTGGACAGCCATTTGTCTGAAATGGTACAGGGTCTCCTGCTTGAGCAGGGGGTTAGACTAGAAGATCTCCAATGTCCTTTCTAACTCTAGTTATTCTATTCTGCTCTGTTCACATGCAAAGCATTACAGCTTTCCCCATCCATCCATTCAGTTTTTTTATCCTTACTGTTCATATATATTTTTACTGAACTCTGAATACTATGTTCATGGCAAAGGATATATCAATTCAATATAAATGGAAGAATACTTAAAATAAAATGATTTATAACATAATTAAAGCATATACTCACTTTTCTCGTCAAAGACAGTAAAATAGCATCCATGAAAATTCTGAAGCCAACATGTTCACCATGGGTCTTTATATAAATCTAAAGTAATTCAAGAATCACAAATTAGGGATTTTTTTTCTTTTCCAAAGCAATATTGGACTCATTTCCATTCTCTTACTCCCCCAAAACAAAGAAACATGTAGAGTTCACTTTCCATAGTGAAACTCTATTAGAATTGTTTATCCTTACCAAATTGGTACTTTTTACAATAGGCATGGAGTATAATTCTTATCATCTCCAGCAAAAATGACTACGCTGGATGATAGAAATTATCATGCTATTCCATAGGATTAGAAAGGATCCAGTCATCAAGGAATGAAACTAGTCCCATATCCCCCTAGACGTTTAAGTAACTTCTACTGTTCCTATTATGCCTTTAATTTAGAAAGGTTCTTCAGTTCACAAAAAATATATTCCCTGCACTCCATTATTGCTTAGTATTTATTGTCACAAGCTGTAGCTGTCACAAGCTGCCATTATATCAAATGACTAAGTATTGTAGAAACTGATGGTAGACAGGCATCGGAGTAACTATTTAAGTACAAAGTCAAGTACAGAGGTAATTGACTTTGCATCCTATTCATCCCCCAGCTTCCTTGAATCCAGAGAAACTATTTCCCATCATTCTTCAGGCTTCTTAAGGCATTTACTTGTAGGATAGCCATTGTCACTTGTCAGTCCTATAGCACAGAGTGTACCTTGTTGTCTTTTACGGTGTAGTGGCACAAACTTTGCCTGTGCCCAAACCGTTGAGGAATTTCTTTGGCAATTTTATCTGGATCGATAGTGGGGAAATGTGCCAAATCTCTCTGAATCTGCTGAATCGCTTGAGGGCAGCTCATCATTTCCAGCCAAGCACTTCCATCTTCCTGAGGGCAGTCACAGTTTTCATGATAAACAGGTCCTGTGTACAATACAGTTGCTTTAAAGTTATATCATGCATTTTGTCTTGGCTAACTTCAGATTCTCCTTTCTGAACTGACGTGGGTCTTCTGTGATTAAGCAAAATAACTGTATATTACATAACTGTTCAAGCAAAGACCCAGATTGTGTTTTCATTTGGCCTCCCACATCTGGGCTTAATCCACTTCATTTTAAGTATTACCACTGTCCAAGTTTCAACATTTTTCTCTTGGCTGAGAAACTTTTAGTATGAAATACATTAAGAGTTCTAAACTAATAGCCATCCAAATTAATTTATACTTTTTGTCATGAAATGAGATTAAAAAATAAACTCTATCTAGGTAGTGACACATCTGCCTCTTTATTTATGCAATTATTCTTCTTTCATTGCAAGCAATGATTGCTCAACATCTTGCCAGGTGCCTTAAAATATCATTTGTTATAGCTCATCAAAATAATGAAAAACACAAATATAAAAAACAGAAATTGAGCTAGGAATTTTGCCAACACTTCTGCCAATGATCTCAGGCATTACTACATCTTATATTATCATTATTTTATTCACTTTACTTCAATTATGCAGCTAGATTTTTCATATTCATACTGTACAGTACTGCAAACAGTATGGTCCAATGCAGCAGAGCAGGTCATCCTTTGAAGAGGCACTAAAAGAATAAGTGGCCAAAAATTCAAATCACCAAATCTAACAAGATTTTGGCATTCTGGCCCTAAGTACACATTTCACACAGAAATTCCAAAATCTCCAAGATCTGGCTGTCTTGCAAGATTTGGGTCCATATTTTTTATTACTAGATTGAAATACATTGTGGTAAGATGCCAACAGCTGCCCCATTGCTGACTACTTGTGATG